TTTGAGTGCTAAACGTTCCGAGTAACTCAGCATAGCTACTTTAAATAACTCTGAAGACATTCGTCGATTGTACTAATACTTGTGAATAATAAAACTACTCGTTTAAGAAACCAGGCTAGTTTTCTATGTATTTTTCTCTGTTAAGCTTACCAAGAAAGTATCTCTACCTCATTCCTGAAGCAGTAAGCATACCATCTCCAACTTAAAATTAACACTAAGGAGATGAAACTAGAGGTGCTCTTGCACCATGTCTAACTAATTCGAAAACAAAACCCAACTTCTCTGCTTGCTGGGTAACTAATAGCAATAAACTCAACGAAATTATCAAAAGAAATTATTATCTCATTTTTAATCTACTTTTTAAAATTAAAGTCATATTATTATTATTTTTAAAAATTATTATATATCAAGCTCCTTTCTTACTATCATTCAGATACAATACTCCATTAATGTAGAGAATATATGACCAAGAATTTCAGAATTACCTATTATAACAAGGATTTTTAGAAAGTTTGATTGATAATTGTGAGGAAAATGCAATATAATCATTTGCTGATTTTAATGAGTTGTCTTAGAATGATGATTAAATGAGTAAAATCGGTCTTTGAATTGGAGATCAAAATAGGCTCAAGAGATTCTTGGCAAGGTACATCAATAATTTCTAAGAATAAAGATCTTAGAAAATTGGATAAAATGATTCAATTTATTATCATCTGGTAGAAGAGGCTGAAGAAATTGACGAGTAATTAAGGTTTAAGAATCAAGATCCTATATAATATGCTGAAAATCTTGGTAAGACGTAGTTCTATGAGATGTTAAAGGAATTATAATAGAAAAAAGTGCAAGATTCCAAAACTTATTAGGATTTCTTGATGTCAAATGAGATTTCACCACCACCACTAAAGTTTCACTCTAAACTTGGCAAAAATTACCTAAATTTTAGTAGTACATATGTAATTGTAGCATATGCTATTTATGCAGGTGAAGAAATTGGTAAATATTTCAGAGGAGAAATTTCATTAAAAATGGTAGCAAAAAGAATTGCAATATCTGCTATTTCAACGGGATGTAATACATTGGTTTTTTGTGCTGTTACAGTGCCATTAGAAATTGTTATAGTCAGTGCCTTAGATGCATTTAGTATTGGGTTAAGTTCATTGGTTTTAGGGTTTATTGGATTACTAGCTGTTTACTATTCATCCGAACATATCAATAATTAAGCCATTCGTTAAGCAGATAAATATTTCGATACCAATGATGAAGATGAGATAATTAACTAAAAGTAGTTTTACCTAAATAGCTTAAAGATACTAAATGCCACAGAAACCTCTAAAATTGATGAGATTAATGCTGAGAAGAAGCGTCTCTTGGTTATCTATCACCCTGATTAAAATAAAGACAAAATTGAGTGGGCACATCAGAAAATTGCCTCTGTTATCATTGCTTTCGAGTGTATTAAATATTACAGAGAAGTTAACAATATATTTTATTGATACAATTGATCTCTGTTTTATTTATTTTTGATCAATTTATACATTATGGGGTTTTGGGGTTTTGGGGTTTTGGGGTTTTGGGG